GGGGAGAGAGGGGACCCATCTAGTCCGGATGAGTGGCAGGGTTAGGAGGTGGACCCCCTGGATGGAGCCAGTAATTGGGATATATCCCGCATTCTGGCAGCGAGCAGGGTCAACCGGGCTGGAGGGTAAAAAAAGCTGGTTATTGATAATCAAGTCCCCAGGCAAGCTGCAAGAGGTGGAGTAGTCCAAAGGGCCAGGTCTTACAGACTGATGGGGTCTCGCCGGTAGAAGCTCCTCAGGATAGTCCGGGGACGAGATGTTATGTCTATGGGGGAAGTTCTGCAGGGCCATAGAATGCCTCCCGGCAGTGGTCATCCTCTGTGTCAGTCAGAGGGCGAAGTGTATAGCCTTTAAGGATCAGGGTTCGTTAGTCGTGGGCGCAGGGCGGGAAGCCCTGGGCCTGGTCCAAGAGGTGCTGCGACGGCGGCGCCTCTGTGGCAGAGGCCGGTGTTCCGTGTCTAAGTCAGGGCTCAGCCAATTCGGTATCTCCACCGATGACATCTCCAAGAATGCGAAGAGGTCCTCCAATTGGGTCGGGTGGTGTAGAAGGAAGTCCGGCCGTTTCGGCGCACATTCAGGCTAAAGGGATACCCCCAGGTGTAGAGGCCTCCGGCCCGGTGGATCTCAGCGAGGAGGGGTTTCAGGGTCCGTCGCATCTGAAGCGTGCGGCGGGAGAGGTCCGGGAGGATGGTGATGTCCACTCCATCAAAGGGGATGCGCATGATGGCCTCTTTTTCAGCGAAGAAATGTACGCGACAGAGGACGTCCCTAGGCCTCAGGTCCCCGTCTGGTCTAGGCCCTCCCACGCGGTGGACTCTGTCTATCTCCAGAGGAGAGTCTGGGGCCTTGTCCAACATGGTATTGAGGATGGCAGTTACTGTAGGGCGAAGGCCCGCCGCAGTGGTAGCCTCCGGGACCCCTTGTAGTTTTACGCGAGGAATAGGGTGGATGGGTGGCAATCATGGGCTGCAGTCTCCGTTTCCAGGCGGTCAAGTCGTTGGGACAAATGGGTCTGTCCTGTTGACAGGGTGGAGACCTCTGATTCCAGTTGGGAGACTGTGCTGTGTATGCTAGCAATGTCTTTCCTCAGCGCGGCCTCCATTTTGGCTACTAAGGCGGCCATGTCTTGTCGGGTGGGAAGAGAGAGGAGAATGGAGGAGATCTCACTGGCGGACAGGGAAGTGATTGTCTCTGGATGTGGCTGTGGAGACAAAGTTAGGGGGAAGACCGGGTCCTCAATCGGGCTGGGATCGGGAGGTGAGGGAAGTACCCGTGGCGGGATGGGGGCATCAGAGTTTTGGGCGCCTCGAGGACAAGGTGGAGAAGTAGACCCCGGGGCCTTACCCTGCGTTTCAGACGTCATGGCTGTCTTGGAAGCGCTGCGGGTCGTCGGTGCTGGAGATGAGAGGTAGCGCTGTAGAGAGGTCTGCGGGCGCTGGTTATTGTCACAGCGAGATTTGCCCTTTAAACGACATCAAGAACGGGTTGAAAAGATGTCTCGATCAACTGGAAAGTCTCTGGAGGTAGCAGAGCTCAAGCAATGTGCTTCCTCACGCCGCCATAGCCAAGCCACGCCCCGGCAAACACTTTTTTTTCACACCGGGCCATGTGGGTTTGGATTTTGTTTTCTCCTAATAATAAAAACCTTCCTTTTAAAAACTGCATGTTGTGTTATCTTTGACTAATAGGCAGCTTTTATTGTTCAGAAGAAGTTGGGGACAGATAACTATGGACACTTGAGGGATTGATTTGGTTTAAAAGTGCAATAGCATACAATACCACCTAAGTCTTGATATCTTTAAACCTTTGTTAGGACAAACTGTGCCCATCTAGCTTACAACTGATAATGAAGATCTCCCAGCACAGTAGAGACAGGGTTAAGTATGTTAAACAAATCCTCAGCCCCCTTCTTTTTTTCTTTTTATGATGAGGCCCACACTTGCATGATTTCACTATTTTTTTTCTTTAAAGCTATTTTCTTCCGCATCCTCTAGCTGGTCCCCAAACTGATACCCCTCTCTCCCCCCCTGTTTGTTTGCGGGTGTCTGCTTCAGCTAGCCAGCACCCATGCGTGTGCATTCCCGGGTCCCATTACCACTCTACTTCTAAAATCTTGACTGACGGCAGGAGCCTATTGCTCCACTGCCCTCAATACCCTCTCCCATAATCAGGAAGTTTGGGGAACGCCGCATATCTTCCTGGACCCGGTAGAGGTGACAAGCGACCACAGGTAATTTTTGGGGATGGGTGTTTTTGTGATATATAGGTGTCTTGCTGCACTCCTTACTGGTATAGGATTTTCCTTGAAATCCTGGTGTGTGCTTGTAGTGACCACGGATGGCGCCGTGAAGATATACAAGATGGCAAAACTATTTCACCAGCACACCATTTAAGTGAAATCAACAAAAGTCCATTTATTAAAGGAGTGCTATCATTCCAGTACAACTACTTGTACTGGAATGACTATTCCATTAATAAATTGACTTTTGCTGATTCCACTTAAATGGTGTGCTGGTGACATCCTTTTGCAAACTGGGTGTTTTTGTGAAACCACAGCCTTTTTCATTTGAACTAAGACCAGCTCAGACTCCTACGTTCAAATTTAAAATGCATAATTTTACAAGAAAAATTTGACTTGAATTCCTTGCAATTCAACACGCATCAGTAGGAATGCTGTGTACGAAGAAAAGCAAGGAAGGTCAAACGCAGCCTCTGAATTGTCATCTACACTACTCCATTAAAGTTAATGTGAATCTGCTGACCTGTGTTTAATGTGCTTTCTGAAACGCTTCTAAGGAAAGCATTTCACTACATGAGCCCTTAATGGGCTTGCAGTCACCTCTTCTGGTGACAGCTGACAGCATTTTTCCTTACGCTGGAGAGATGCACTAATTTTCCTCAGGACCGGAAATTAATCAAAAGATGTAGGCTAAGAATAAAAAGCTTGGCTATGGGTATACTGTTACTTTCACATCCACCACCTTCCATTTTTTAAAATTAGCATGAACATGTTGTAAATTCATCTTTTATGTTAAAAATGTGCATTAACATGTTTTCTTTCCTTTTTGTTTATACAGATAATGGCACATGGACACAGCTTTGGTTAGTGTCTGATTATCATGAGCATGGCTCACTATTTGATTACCTGAACAGGTATACTGTAACAGTGGAAGGGATGCTAAAGCTGTCATTGTCCACTGCAAGTGGCTTGGCTCATCTCCACATGGAAATTGTTGGGACACAGGGTATGTTTATACAAGCGAAAACAAAATACAAGTTGTTTAAATATGAATTCTGAACTGGCTTTAAAGGAGAACTATGAGATGAGTGATTTCCACTCACCTCATAGTTCTAGCCGACCTGTGACAATGAGATTGTCACAGGTCAGCTCAGTAGATCGGGAGGTGAGCGAACACATACCGGGTTCGCTCTCTTCTCGATCCTGTCACGGCTCTGAGCCGTGACAGGGGGAGGGGCTGGATTCCCCTCTCCCCGCTCCGAACTGCCAGCGCTGACTGGCGGAACGGACGGGGGAGGGGGCGGGTACAGCTGGCTCTGCCTCTAGATAGGCGTAGTTCTCCGTTAAAGCCCAGAGGCTGCAGATAGATTCTAAAACAAGATCTGCAGAGTACTTGTTCTGATTCCATTATCTTTGTCTTTCCGATAATCTGTCTATATTTCCCCAGTCATCTTCCAGGACAGCCAATGAGATAAGGCTCCGCCTGCCTGCAACAGGAAACACATCAACCACATTAAATAAAAAGACTCCTCCTTCCATCCCAATTCAGTTTTTTTTGTGTTTCCTCTGGCTACACAGGGACATCGTAATGTTTGTTATTTTGGGGCTCATTATTTTATTGCCTTAGGGCAGAGCCTAACCCTGCATGCGTTGGGACCACTCCGGGCATAGCCTGCTGAGACGCATACAGGGTTTTTTCCACTATCGGACCCCCATCCGAGTTGGCCAAGGTTCACCTCCGTCGCTCAGGGAGGAAAACCATCCTCCTGACGTGAGTGGCTCCAGGCGGTGGTCCCCCCGGTGTGCAGTGTGGTGAGTTCCTGAATGGCGGCGGAGCACCCCCTTGTGATAGTGGTTGCCAAGTCGGGGAACCGCAATGGCAAACATGCTGGCAGATGGCAAGGTGGGCTTACCTTGAAATGGTTTCCTCCCCGTGGGCCCTCTGGGATTCCTTTGATTGCTGTTACCCTCGCCGCAGCACCGCATGCTGTCTCACGCAGGAGGGTGTCAGTGTCGCCGGCTCACCTGTGGATGTTGCGATGACTCAGGAAGTGGGTTGGAGCGGCATCATAGTAAGGGCAGAAGTGAGTCACTGAGAACAGTGACGCACTTCCTGTGCGACGGCTCGGGCCGGATCTCCCGGTTGTTTGGCGCATAAAAGCGCTGGCGTGCATGAGCAGAGCCTCTGGGGGGTGAATCTGCCACAATCAACGCCAATCGGCCACGACTACAAGGATGCACACCTCGAAGACGACCGGGATCACATACGGCCGGTGGGGGCGTCAGCAGCGGGCTGTCGGCAGTAGGGCGAAGATGCCCACGGATGCCGGACCGGGTGCTGCCTCCCCAGATCTGGGAGAGCATAGTACTGGCGCTAAGGTAGGCAAGTTTTTTTATAGATAAATCTCCCCTATCCTTACCCCGCTTGTGTTTGGGGGCCTGTTGCACAGGACAAGCTGGGGGGTGATGTTTGGTTAAACATTTCTTGCATGTTGGGTGGAGTACTGGCTGACGGCATCCTTCTGTCTTATGCAGGTCAAGGCCACGGAGGATAAGCCCCTTGCTGAAGCTTGCGGCTCTCGCCAAAAAGGGAAGAAGTGTTCCTCTTGCAATGTCAAAATGTCACCTTCACGATCCAAACCCTTATGCAAAGTTTGTTTAGAGAAAGTGGTGGCCAAGGAATCGGCTGGGATGTTCAAGGGTCTGATAGATTCTATGAGAGATGAAATGGTTACTACTTTTCAATCTTTCAGGTCTGTGTTACAGAGCCCAATGGGTACAGTAGTAGACACCAGTTTACCCGGAACATCAGGGGAAGGTAGTTTGATGGGCTACGCAGAAAGCTGCGTGAGCAAGCAAGCGCCCAGGGAATCCTCGGGCTCTTAAGTAGAGTCAGAGGATCAGGAGGGGGAGTTACATAGCAGCAGAGCTACGAAATTCCTATTCCCTTCATTTGAGACAGGTGAGCTGTTGAAGGCCATATGGGATACTTTGGGTATTAAAAAAGAGTCGACTGAGCTGTCAGTTCATGATAAACTTTACAAAGGACTCCAGACTAAGAAAGGGCATACCTTCCCGGTTCCCAAATCACTCTCGGACTTGATCCAAGAGGAGTGGAAGCACCCAGAGAAATGGAGGCTTTTCTCGGCGGGGCACAAGCGCAGGTTCCCATTTGCAGAGGAGGATTCAGGCCTGTGGGAAAAATTCCCAAAAATTGATGCCTCCTTATCAAAGGTCTCAAAAAAGACTGATTGGGATATGGGAGCATTGAAGGACCCGATGGACAGGAAAGCGAAGGCTTTGCTCAGGAAGGGATGGGAATCAGCGAGTGCTGGATTTAAACCAGGGCTGGCCATTACTTGCGTGGCTAGGACTTTAGGTGTGTGGCTGAATCAGCTACAAGTACACCTGGAGTCTGGTACTGATCGTGATCAGTTGCTGGGTTCCCTCCCGTGCTGAGCAAGGCAGCCGCTTACATTGTGGACGCCTCGGCTGAGGCGGTCAGGTACCCGGCTCGAACTACAGCATTAATCAACTCCTCCAGGAGGGCATTGTGGCTCAAAACTTGGTCAGAAGATGCAGCCTCCAAGGCAAAGTTATGCGGGCTCTCTTTCAAAGGTGACTTGCTGTTTGGCCAGGAGTTGGAGGCGGTGTTGGATAGATCCACGGACAAGAAGAAAGGTTTTCCGCTAACACCCAAGCAGCAGGGGAAAAAGTTTTTTCGTGGCCAAAGGGGTCAAAATTTCCGCAAAGAGAAAAGGGGATTTTATGGGAAAAAACAAGACCAGTCTAAAGGGTGGGCCTTCAAAAAGGGAAAGTCTAAGAGCAATTTCCTCTTTAACCCACCTCAGCAGCCCAATAAATCCCAATGCCCGATTGCTCAGGGTGGGAGGAAGACTGGGAGAATTCTTCCCGCTCTAGAGGGAGCTGACCAGCAACAAATTCATTTTGGAGCTGGTTCAGACCGGTTACAAAATAGAACTGACGGAAAGGCCCCCGTCCAGGCTTCTGATTACTTCCCTGTCCAAGGACCGGAAGAGAGCATAGGCAATGACAGCGGCTCTGCAAGATCTGTTGGACCAGGGGGTCATTGTGCGAGTACCGGTTTTAGAGGAGAAGAGGGGATTTTACTCCCACATCTTTTCCAGGATGAAGCCCTCGGGAAAATGCAGACTGATACTAAATCTGCAGCCTCTGAACAGGGTGGTACTGTACAAAAAGTTCAGTATGGAATCTATCTTTTCAATACGAGAGTTTCTGCCCCCAGGATCCTTTTTAGCAACTATAGACCTAAGAGACGCTTACTTTTGCATTGCAGTAAGACAGTCATCACAATACCTACTGTTTGCTGTCCGGGGACCGGCGGGGGTCCTGCATTTCCAATACAGGGCCTTGCCGTTCGGCCTTTCCTCTTCGCCTCGAATCTTTACCAAAGTATTGGCAGAGACTCTGGCCTCCCTAAGATCACGGGGAGCAGTGGTCATTTCATACTTGGACAACCTTTTTTGTTTTTCGCCCCATCAGGGGTTGTGCTCCAACAAAAGCTGGAGCTGGCGATACGGCACTTGGAGAGTCTGGGTTGGTTGGTGTACAAGGAAAAGTCACAACTGGTCCCCGCACAGACGGTAAGGTTTTTAGGTTATTGGATCAATACCCAGGAAATGACCATTGCATTACCGGGGGAAAAAGTGTCTTTGCTGGTAGAGGAGACACTGAGACTGAAGTTGCAGTGTGACGTATCAGTCAGATCAGTAATGAGAGTGGTGGGACGTATGACGTCCGCCATCCCAGCAGTTACCTAGGCACAATTCCATTCAAGGACGCTACAGAATTGGCTATTGAGGATCTGGGGGGGTCGGCAAGAAGACCTAGACAAAGTAGTCCACATCACGGAGGAGATCAAGCAATCCCTGCTGTGGTGGATGGACTGTCGGAACCTCTCAGTTGGCAGGATGTGGTGCCAACCAGCACCGTTAGTAGTCACGACAGATGCCAGTGCCTGGGGATGGGGAGCCCACTGCCTGGTGCATATTTGGCAGGATACCTGGGAGCGCACGGGCAGACTCAAGTCGTCAAACTGGAGAGAGTTAAAGGCGATAGGGCTAGCTCTCTGCCATTTTTGGGGCACTTTAGCAGGACACCGTGTAGCGGTGGCCTCAGACAATGCCGCAGCGGTAGCTTATATAAACAAGCAGGGGGGCACGCGGTCGCAGGGCCTTATTGCATTGGCGACAGAAATTCTGTCATGGGCAGAACGCAACCTCCTCTCCCTGACGGTGAGGCATATCAAAGGCAGCCTGAACGAGCTGGCAGACTCTCAGTCGAACGGAACATCACAGGTCCGAATGAGCTCTGAACATGAGGACGTTTGCCTGGATCACCAGCTTGTGGGGCTGTCCGGAGGTAGACCTCTTCGCAGCTGCCAACAACAGGCAGGTGGAACAATTCTTTTCCCTCTCCAGGAACGACGGGGCTCTGGGGGTAGACGCTTTGGCGCACCCCTGGAGGTTCCGGTTAGGTTACGCATTTCCTCTGCTGCAGTTGATTCCGAATGTTCTTCGGAAACTCAGGGGAGAACGGATTACGTTAATTCTCATAGCGCCATACTGGCGGAAGATGCCGTGGTTCACGACACTCCTAGAGCTGTGTGTGGAGGGGCCTCTGCTTCTTACGCCAACGACAGATCTGCTGGTACAGGGAACGGTGAGACACCCGCAAGTACAGGCCTTACATTTAGCTGCATGGCTTCTGAGAGGGAGGTGCTGTTGAACAAGGGGTTATCCGCAAAGGTCGTGTCTACGCTGATGCGCAGTAGGAAACCGGTAACGTCAGCAATTTACCTGAAGGTGTGGAGAGTCTTTTCCAGCTGGTACAACAGCCAAGGTAGACCAACGGCCGACACAGTGCCGTTGGTGTTAGATTTTCTGCAGGGGGGTCTGGAGAAGGGGCTTTCCTGTAGTACTCTGAAAGTGCAGGTTTCGGCTCTGTCTAATTTTGTGGACATTA